ATATATATATAGTATATTATTAAATAGATATTAGTAGTATGATAGCTAAATATATGAGTATTCGATGATGTATAGGCGACGTCGTATATGTAAGTAGTATTGTGATGAGATTCACCTATATATAGTCACGCGGTAGGTATCTAGTAGTAGTATTAGTCGATGCTATATATATATATATTAGACATAACTATATGATAAGTTATATAGTAGTAAATGATATGAGGTTATAGCTATTATACGTAATAGGGAGTAAGTGGGTTTAGATGATATAGTAGCTGACTTGGAGTAGGTGAGGTAATGTGTAGTCAGTCAGGTGAGGGGTAGGTGAAGATAGGTAGTATAGTATTGATTATATATATAGTATATATATAGCGTGGTATGAGAATATTTTCTTAGCAAGAGGTATACGATGTCCTTGTGCTCGTGGTGCTCTGTGTGTCTGTATGTCGATATGATAGCGGCGCGTTGAGGCCATATGTAGCAGGCGTGGTGCATCGTAAGGAAATCTCTTCGTGAGATCCAGGTGTCTGAATCGATTAAAACAGTCAAGCATGAACGGACGCTGGGTCCCACTAGTTCAGGATGGCGAGTCGGTGGGGTAGGCGCGAGCTCACTACTCACGCGCAGTGGTCGCGTGGCTTGCTTTGGGCAAGTCAACCGGAGTCTGCAATGCTTTCGAGTAGCGGTGTGCCAGGAAGGTTTGTCGTGTTTTCGGGTGGTCGTTTGGCGTTCGGAGCAAGCCGGGCCCTCAGGGTCGGTGGGTATGGGAGTTGGGGGAGCTCCGCGGTGGGGTCGGTCGGGTCGTGGCCTTACGGTGCTGTACCAGCTGCGGTGATGGTGCGTGGTTGGTGGTGTGAGCTTGTGCGCAGATCGGTGGTGTTCGAGTGAGCGTGGATTTGGTGGGTTTTGCGCCGGATGTGTTTTTGCGATGGTCGGGGTGTGCGGAGTGTGAGGTACGAGCTGTCGTCGCGGAGTCTGCTTCGGCATTTGTCTTCCGCATAGTGGGTGTACATTCACCTCAGTCGCCTTTATATATATATCTAGGTAATACTAATAGGTTTATAGTCTATTATTAGTATATATAACGTATATATACTAGTATAGTGGTAGTATGAGTAGTATATATATATATAGTATAGTATGTTATAGTATATACTTGACTGAGATATATATAGTATTATAGTAGAGGGCAGTCACTGACTTACATAGGTATATGATAGTACATGAGTATATTAGGATTGCGGAGTGGTTCGTAGTAGGGTGAGATGTGTGTGTGTGTGTGTGATGTGTGTGTAGTATGTGTGTGTGGTGGTGGTGTGTGTGTGTGTGTGCTGTGTTGTGTTGGTGTGTGTGTGTGTGTGTCGGTGTGGTGTGTGCGTGCGTGTGTGGTGTGCGTGTGGTGTGCGTGGTGGTGTGTGTGTGGTGTGGTGAGTGTTGTGTTTCATTCATTGCGTCCTGTTGGCTGTTGTGTCTTCTCTTTCGCAATCTCTATATCATAGCCGTCTCTTTCATTGGGCTGCAGTTATAGAATGAGTGTCGGGTTGTATATAACAGTTTATATAGAGAAGACCCTCATGAAAGCTCACTTAATTTATCATCATCATATGATACTTGATGTGATATTCAGAAGAAAGGATGAACCTTTTTCTCAATTTCAAAACCGTCTCTACTTTTGTTTTCTTTAAGAAATTCCGAAAGACAGGGGAAGCAATTATCGACAGCAATACCGTCTCCCTAAAGATGTAAATGTAAATATTAACTGGAAAACAGAATTTCTCTTTGCAAACATTTGCCAGTGTTGTTAATCTTCGCTTCGACATTTTTCAAGCAATCTCAGGTGAGGGGGATGGATTTCAGCGCAGAGATCTAGAAATTATTTAAACTAGTCTCTGCCTGCTTGTCTGTTTCTGTGGTTTTCATGCTTATTTATTTATTTATTTTATTTATTTTATTTCATCTCATCTCATCTCTCGCTCTCTCTCTTGTTTTTATCTTTTCATCTATTCATCTACCTTACTATCTATCTCATTTATCTAGATATCTATCCAGCTGTCTATCAGTCGGGTCCTCTGTTTCCTTGTTTAGGTATCTACTTATATATAATTACAAATATGTATATTTGCTTATCTAAAGGGTTATCTATTTGATCTGTTCATCTATCTACTTATCTATCTAATTATTTATTCAATCTACTATACTCACCTACACACATATATCAATTTGTTTATCTGCTTTGTTTACCTCACGTTTATTTACGTTTTCTTATGTCTGTTGTCTCTTGTTCTTTCCTTCCTTGTTACTTTGCTCTCTACGAACTTATGCATAGTACACTACTGAAGAAAAGAATGCACAAACGAGATTTACCGAAAATGAGACATGAGGTACGAAATCCCCCTGGAATTTCATCTTCATGTCTAAAGGAGGAGTAAAAGTGGGAGAGAGGTAAACACGGTGTTTTTTTTTTCTCCTGC